CTCTGTTTCTCAGGGCTTCTTGGGCCGGCCGTTGCGCGGCAGGTTCTCCACGGTGTTGCTGAGCCGGTACTTGACGATGATGCTGTGCACGGTGGACTTGGGCATCCTCAGCTCCAGCCCGATGGCGCCCTCCGACTTGCCGTCCTTCCAGAGGTCCACCACGCGCTGCCGCTGGCCCACATCGTGCTCCTTGGTCTTCTGGCAGGCGGCTGGCCCCCCGGCGGCTCCCCCGCTGGCCTCTGTGGGGGCAGACAAGCGGCAGACTGAAGTGGGGGCAGGATTAAGAGACACTTTACGGGTCCTGATGGCCGTGGGGGGGTGGGTGGGCGGGGGGGGGGGTCCATCAGGGCGGTCCACAGGAGGCGGCTGGCAGAGGTGCGTGTTTAGTTCAATTCAATTCAGTTTTATTTATATTTATTTATATAGGTCATCAACGGATTGTCGTCTAGCAGAGCCTTCACCAGCTTAAGACCATCCAGACTGTTTAATGTGTCGTTCCAAGATGGAGGAACGACCTACCAAGCTACAAGAACAGCAGAGTCCCTGTCTGTCTTCAAGAAACTCTTGAAGACCCCCCTCTTCAAAGAGCATCTCCTATCCTAATCCTAACCCATACCTCTACCCCCCACAGCTCCTATCCTAACCCTAACCCGTACCTCTACCCCCCACAGCTCCTTCTGTAGTCCCTCTACCTCTACCTCTATCTCACCACTGACTCTGATCAGTGTTTCTCCGCTATATAGCTTATTGTCATAGTGATGAGAAATGTAATATTGTGTCTACTCTGTAAGTCGCTTTGGATAAAAGCATCTGCAAAATGCATAAACATAAACATAAACATGTAGCGCCACATCACAACAACAGTCGTCTCACAGCGCTTTCCAAACAGAGCAGGTCAGACCCTACTCTGAAGTTAATTACAGAAACCCAACAATTCCCACCATGAGCAAGCACTAGGCGACACAGGCAAGGAAAAACTTCCTTTTAACAGGCAGAAACCTCGAGCAGAACCATGGCTCAGGGTGGGCGGCCATCTGCCTCGGCCGGTTGGGGGTAAGAGAGAGAGAGGGCAAGAGAGAGAGAGAGAGAGAGAGAAGGACAGAGGGAGCAGAGAGACGTTATTTTAACTTGGTCCAGTTCTCCTGTTTGCCCCCCCCCCGTCCTCCCCAGTTCCCCCTCCATTTTCTGTCTGGATCCAAGGGGGTCAGGAAGCGGATCGACCCCAATCAGGGCGGCGTACGGTCTGATTTTCTGCTCCAGTCCAGACCAGTCCCAGCCCCCATCCCTCCAGGGGCCCACAGGGGGCCCCTCATGGAGCCCACCCCTCACGGGGCCCACACATGGCCCACATGGAGCCCAGCCCTCGGCCCTCACAGGGCCCCCTGTGGGCCCACAGGGGGCCCACCCCTCAGCCCTCACAGTTCCCATCCTTCAGCCCACACGGGGCCCACAAGGGGCCCTCACGGGGCCCACACATAGCCAACAGGGGGCCCAGCCCTTGGCCCACAGGGACCCTCATGGGGCCCTCACAGTTCCCATCCTTCAGCCCTCACGGGGCCCAAAGGGGGCCCACCCCTCGGCCCTCATGGAGCCCAGCCCTCAGCCCTCACGGTTCCCATCTTTCAGCCCTCACAGGGCCTACAAGGGGCCCAGCCCTCGGCCCTCCAGGGGCCCACAGGGTGCCCATCCTTCACCCCACACGTGGCCCACATGGAACCCAGACCTCGGCCCTCCAGGGGCCCACATGGGGCCCACCCCTTGGCCCTCACAGTTCCTATCCTTCAGCCTTCACGGGGCCCAAAAGGGGCCCACATGGGGCCCACTCCTCAGCCCTCACAGTTCCCATCCCTCAGCCCTCACGGGGCCCAAAGGGTACCCATCCCTCAGCCCTGGCGGGGCAGGCTCACGAGTCCCATCGCGGCGTTTACACAAGCGGGCGTCTGCGGTTTCTGGGCCCCAGCTGAAAATACCGCGGCCGGCCTCGGCGGGGCCCCAGACGGGCTCGGCATAATGACATTCTCAGAGATAGGCCCTGGCTCTGGAAAACGCAATGCTTCTGACAGATGTCTCGGTCTACAATTACAGAAAAATCAAGATACAGCGAGCGGGAGGCGGGAGCGGCCCTGAGCGGGGGGGGGGGGGGGGGGGAGAGGGGGGGTGGTTTTCGGGGCAAAGCTACTGGGGAATATCAGGTTTTACCAGTTATCTCTGCCACATCTCTGCTATCTAAACATCTCCGAACACGAACGCACATGCGGGGCGGAGAGCGTCTGGAGAGCATATGCTGTTACCAAACTAATTATGAGAAAATAAATTCACAAACTGACAGAGCTCTCTCTGACAGAGTGCAGGCTAGGGGGGGAGCAGGAAGAGAGCCCGACAACAAAATACCCCTCTGTTTTTTTTTTTATTCCCTTTTCGCTTTCTCGCACAATTTTAATTAAAAAGCTTTTAACCCGATAAGTGATGAGAGCCCGGGAGAGAAGAAACACGCGGCTCCTTAGGCGGGTCTGGGCTCCGGGGGGGTTGCACAACGCGTCCTCAGATCCCAGAACTGCTGAGCCAGGCATGTTAGGATAGACCAAAAATGCCTTAATATAGCAGCCCGGCACGTTTGGGTTCGATTTCGGTAATGTCTATTTCAGGTGTGCGTCTGGCAGCCACATCAGAAACTCTGCACACAGATGGTGCGTGTGTGTGTGTGTGTGTGTAAGTGTGTGTGTGTGTGTTGCCCCCCCACCCCCCAGATATGGACTCTCAGGTCTCACAACTTAAGCTGCAGAAGGAGGTGAAGCCTCTATTGGAAAAGCCTGAAGCATCAGAGGACATCAGGTGGTTTCTCTGTACACACACAAGTCTGATTTAGGTCCCAAACGATGTCGCTAACAGAAACCCCAGAGACAGGCGTCTTCGTGGGGCCGGGGCAAGGATTTTTCCATTCTCCTTGTTAAATGTTTTTCCACAACAACATGGCCATACAAAGGCCGAATTCCTCAGATGGTATCTTTAAAAATAGGAACATTTCGGGCCGCTTTTGCCCATCAACAGTCCGCGTTGCCAAATAATCAAATCCTGACCCGAGGCCAGATTCCTGCTTCTCCATCAGGCAGCTCGGTTACTAACTCCTGTCAGATAGCTACACTCAAGGGCCATGAAGGGGGGGGGGGGGGGCTTTAAACTTTCCATTTTTCTAATGACTGTCAGAGGGAGAACGATGTTTTCCTTCTTCAAGCTGAGAGCTATTCTGGTTTCTGGTTTGCGAAGTCTCTGAAACCCAAAGTAGCAGCAGAAGCAGCAGAAGCCTACAGATCCCACAATGCACCTCTGCATCCGAATTCTGTGGACCCGCAGCTTTTTCGATCGGTCAGAGGCGACCAGCAGGACGTCGGCATCGGCCTCTTTTGAGCATACGGCATCTTTTAAAGCACTCGGAGATCCAAGAAGTTGTGATTTGGTGCTTTGTGGATGAGCTTAGCCGATTGGACGAATTCCTAATGTTTCTCCTCATTAACTCATAGGCTGCCAAAGACGTCTATAGACGTCTTTTATGTTTTTCAACGACAGTGGCTGGGGAACGATCTGCTAAAGCTTGTCCGTAAATATCAGGCTTCTAGACAGAGTATGTACTAACAAATTGACCCTCCAGGGGGCAGAGCCACTTTTGATGGGAGATGAGCATAGACTGTAGGCAAATAAGAAAAAGGTAACGGTTCACTATGAGAGAACATGTCGCCGGTGAGACGCAAGTCGAGGAAGAACGGAATAAGGTAGAAACATTTTTTTTTTCCTGATGAAAGAAGAGAGTCTACTCTTTCTTTTGGTGTGTTCTGTGTTTACATAGTCATAGCACAAACTATTCTGTGGCTCTTGAAGAATCAGTCAAAATGCTCAAAAAACTCTGGCAGTATGGGACTCTCTGTTCTGAAAATGGCTGGCAGTCAATGAGTTAAAGATGGGCACCGGGACCTCTGGGGGGGCCGGTTTACTGCACGGGAAGACCTGAACGGCTGATTCAGAGGTGCCAGACAGTCCCCCTTTCTCCAGGGAATGATCTGTTCCTGTGCGGCGCTGAGTCAGCGAAAATCCCTCCGCCAACACCCATAAATCTGAGCTAAACGTCGGTATCAAACCCATCAAACAAAGTGTTGTTGTTTTTTTTATTACCTCCAGCACTGCGGCTGCCAAAGCCGGGGGGGGGGCCTCAGACACTGACCTGATATGAAGGATCCGGGCGGCATCTGGCTGTAGTTGGCCCCTCCCATGTGCAGGGCGCCCGGGGGGGCGGGGCTGAAGGGGGCGCCGTAGTTCTGGGGGGTGGCGTAGGGTCCCGGAGGGATGGGCTGTTTAGGAGGAGACACAGGTTTCCTCAGAGGAGTCGTGACAACAAACGAAATAGGGTGATCAAAAGTATCGATACTCCAAAAAGTATTGATATCAAATAGTTCAATCCCCCCCCACCCCCTTCTCTCTGATTTATTTATTTATTTAGCTTGTTTATGATCATTAACATGACGTTAGCCTTGAAATGCAAGCTACAGCTAATGGCTACTAATGACACACCAAGGATGGATATCCAACTCCGCCCACATCCAGGTCGGCCATTTTCATTAGGTCACCAATAGGAAGATCCCAGGCAAAAACATCCTAAGTGCCTCTTGTCAATATAGGCATTAATTTAAAATTTGTGAAATTAATCTTGCAAACACTGAATTAAACTCTATACATGATATTATGTTAAAATAGTGTATATGAAATCGGTTTGTACGATAAGTCCAAACAAGTTTAACCAAAACATTTTTATTTCTCACTATTATCAAGGGTGGAGGGTTAGGGTTAGGGTTAGGATTAAGGGTTAGAGTCAGGGTTAGGTTTAGGGTTAGGGTTAGGTTTAGGGTCATTAATGTGGGCCACCGGCCACCATAACATCAGTAACAGGTCAGTTTGAAACGAAAGACACTAACCTGTCGAAATTCAGTTAAATTTTGGGGTCTTTGTTTTTATCCTTGTATAGAAAATCTTCCTTAGTATCAGTATCGAGTTTAAAATGTTAGTATCGTGACAACCCTAAAACCAAACAAACCACCTTTCTGTTATTTGTGCTGACAAAGAAGATGCTGACGGAGCAGACACACACACACGGGCGATAACATAAAACATAAAGGGCTCCTGTGTTTTCATTGGACATCCTCCAGGTATTATTTTTCCACTGGGAGCTCCGGCAGGTTTCAGCTCGTGAGTGTGGCTCTGTGTGTGTGTATCTGTGTGTGCATGTGTGTGTGTGTTTGTGTGCGCGTGTGTGCGTGTGTGTGTGCATGTGTGTGCGTGCTGACCGGCGGCGTGTGCGTGTGTGTGCACGTGTACGTGTGTGTGTGTGTGTGAGT